AAACATGGCATTAGTTAGGTGGAAAAGACGGAATTTATCCTTACACGATTATTATTAAAGAGGAGGCTTCAATCCTCAGCAGAAATAATTTTATATAATTGAGACTGCGCAAAAATTAACTTCATATGGAAATACATCTGAGATGCTATTTGTAGCCTGTCAGAAGATTAGCAAGTATAAATAATCGTATGTTCACATTTCTCACGTTGCCCACTGCTATACATTTACAGAGTTATTTTAAGCTATCTTCACTATTATTGACTATTTTTCTTCTTGCTCTGTCTTTAGTGCAAAATATTTCAGTTTTCATCTTTGTTTAGGGAAAGTAAGGGAAAATATCCAAAGGCCTCTCACCGAATCGGCTGAGGAAATCTGATTTGAAGGAATCGAATTGTAAGAATATATTTTTCTTTAAAATAACTTAAATTGAACAACCAAAAATTTTTTTCACATAAAATAATATTATTTTCCCAGGCTTTTTGACATCTTTGACAGCTGCTTTTTTTTAAAATAAAAATTGAACTCGTAGATTCACTAACCTTGCCATTGGTCATTTGCAGCAATAGTTTGTTAAAAACATTTAGATTGTACACACTAGTAATCCGAAGTTGACATTAAAAAGATGCTTGATTTTCTGATTTACAATATCTTAGTAGTTTTTGTAGACAAGGTCTTCCAACGATCTGTCGGAATTCCCATGTGTAGCAACTGTGCCCAGTTTTTAGCAAACCAATTTTTGTATTTATAAGAAGAGTAATTTATTCAAAATCTTATACATGAGAAAAACAAAACATTTGTTGTGGCCTTCAGTTCGACATTTAGATATATCGACAACGTAGTATCAATTGAAAATACATTTATTTACTTCCATCCATATGTCGACTTGATGTACCCCAGTGAGCTTACAATAAAAGATACCACAGATTCTGACACATCTGTTTCATATTTAGATATTTGACTAGAAAAAGACTTTAATGGTAATCTAACAACCAAGCTTCATAAAAAAGGTGATGACTTTAACTTTTCAATCGTCAACTTCCATTACTTAATTAGCAAGATTCCCTCATCACCTGCACACGGGGTTTATGTCTCTCGGTTGAATCGATATATAAGAGCACGCTCTAGTACGAACAATTTCTAAAACGAGGCAAGCTATTGACAAACAAGATGATGAAACAAGGATATCAACAGTCTCGTTCGAAGTCATCACTCCGCAAGTTCTATGTTCGATGCAATGACCTTGTCAGCAAATACAACCTTTCCAATGGTCAAATGCTGATTGACCTTGACACGTCCATGACATCTGATCCTACCTCTGATGTTTCAGAGGTCAGTGTTTGCTCTGCTCCTGATTTGTATTGTTTGAATGGATTTTTCAGCTGGAAAATTTCTTTAGCTCTATATCTTATGATACGGTTTATGTTTCACTTACACTGGGCAAAACTTGGCTGTTTAGATTTTTACAATAAACAAAATTTTTACCCCCATCTCAGCAGATACCACCGAGTTCTTTAATCTGTCTGCAAAAAGCAGTTAAGTCAGTTTTTGCAAGGTGTGATTGTCAATCAACCCTTCGTGACACAGTAGTAAGCACCATGCTTTTTTGATGAAGAAATGAATTATTGACTGAAATTCTGTATTTCTATTATAAAGCATATAATAAAAGATATATCACCTGAATACAGAATTTAAAAAAAAAATCTAAGCAATTTCTGATATGTTTAAAGAAAAGTAAAAATAAAAAGAAGAAAACATAAAAAAAGCAGAAAAAAAACAGGCCCATGGGCCACAACGCTCACCTGAATTACTTTAGCCCTGTTGTTCATCAAGATTTCAAAAAGATTTTATATTCCCACGAAAAAAAACTAGACCCTACATTATGGTCCCACCATAACTCTTAGGGGCTCTGAATCATCATACCATAAAGATGATTCGATTTCAAAATGACTAAACATGGTCTTTACAGTTTGGAGAAGACAATTATTTTTTCTTAAACATGCAAATGTAAAATTTGATCTTGATTTTAGCCATCTCTAGCCCAGGATCCGTAAAAAGTTTTTTAAAAAATTGATTTTTCACAGCATTGAAATATTTGCAAATTAATGTCTAGTGTATTTCTTTACATTTTTTGATTTATTTTTTTTTAAATTCAGATTAATGCAAAAGCTTTGATCCCGTAATGTAGTCCCACCCTAACCCCGGGCCCATGTTTTAAATCGTTTACAATCTTTACTACCTCAAGATGATTTCACAAAAGTTTCATCTTTTCTGGACCAGTGGTTCCTGAGAAGATTTTTAAAGCTATTTCTTATACATTTCAATGTAAAACTTTCATCCCCTATTGTAGTCCCACCCCAAGTCCCAGGGTCATGATTTAAACAATTTAGAATCTACTATTTCTTAGAAACATTAAACATAAGTTTAATTTTTTCTGGCCCTGTGGTTCTTGTGAAGAAGATTTAAAAAGATTTTAATATTTTAAAGTACAATTTTCATTCCCTTATATGGCCCCACCCTGACCCTTGTGATCATAATCTGTACAATTTAGAATCTACACTTCCTCAGAAACCTTCCATATGTGTTTCATCTTTTTCTGTCCAAGTTTTCTCGAGAAGATGTTAAATTACTCCATCCTACATTTGCACTTGGACTTGGTCTTTATTTAAACAATTAAAAATCTTCTTTACCCACGCTTTGTGCCAACTTTGGTTTAAATTGGTCCAGTGATTCTGAAGAAGTTGAAAATGTAAAAAACAAAAACTTTCAGACGGACGGACAGAAAGACAGACGGATCGACGGATGCAGGACAAGGGGTGACCAAGAAAGCTTACTGGAGCTTTCAGCTCAGGTGAACTTTAAAAGATCATACACACAAAAAAGAAAATAAAATTTAAAAAAAACTAAACAAACAAATGAATACAAATACATGTACAAGTTAAAACATTTTGACCATTATTTTATAACCTCGTGGTTGTTTATATGAAGCAGTAATCTCATATACATCAACTTTGACATCGCAATTAAAAGATTAAAGAAACATTTAAAGCGACAAGCCTCGATTTTTCTATTAGCTAATGTATTACCTAATTAAACAAGTGGCAAGACAAGTGTTTAGACTAACTTTTTAAACTATAAGAACAATCTAGTAATCTAGTACATATCTGGTATATAAACAAGAGTGTTACAAGGAGAGCATGTGTTGCCTGAAATAGTATCATAAAAAGACATACATACGGCAGAAATAAACCTAAAGGGTGTGACTTAAAAACCTGTGAACCGTCTATTATCTAAAGGATATATTGTAGTCCATGCCATGCAAAGAAAGAATTGAATATCCATTAAAAGTAAGACTGGAATGGGAAAGTATTTATTGAAAATGACCAACGATTAGGAATAAAATTTCCAAACCCTCAAAGCTAAAGTGAGTGCCTAAATTGAAATTATTATTTAAAAAGAATATATATATATATATATATATATATATATATATATATATATATATATATATATATATATATATATATATATATATATATATATATATATATATATATATATATATATCTTTTTCCATTTTTTATTCTTCCTCCATTAAATGGTTAGTCCAGAACCAACCGAAGTTGGTATACCAACCACTACTTATTTTATACAACTAATGGAATTTCAGTCTTCATGGTACAATGCGTATTATCTTTATAGTGAATTGTCATGAAATAAATATTTGATATATGTATTAAATCAAATTCAAGACAGAATTTAGTTTTGACGGATCTGAGTATTCTATATAAGTATGTCAAAGGTCAAGGTCTGAATATTCTATATAAGTATGTCAAATGTCAAGGTCAAGTGGTAAGTAATGGATTTTTTTTTAAAAATTGAGTCGGGAGAAAGCTTGGAAATACATAGGATATTATTTGGACTTCATGTGATGAAAATTCGGATATCTATCCCAATAACTGGGTAAATATCAATTAAAAAAACTCTCCATGCAGAGTTTCTGTGTATGTTACTTGTAGTCCTCTGTTTCAATGAAATCAAGTTTACCGAAACAAAATTTTACACGCTTATATATACATTTGGTTTCCAGATGAGTAAGAAAGGCGGACAAGCATGAACCTACGATGACACCAGGAAGAAATGTTACCCCCATCAACTAGAGAGCAACAAGCCGGATCCGAACTTTTGGGGCACTGATGTCCAGCAAGAATTGGATTCTTCAAGATGAAAGATTTTTTTTACAACATATTTTCATTAAACGCATTTTCTTCTCGAAACACGTGCCTATGGTCAACGTATTACAGTCCTTTTCGAAGACAGCAACTTGTTGAAAAGCTAATACTTGTAACTTAATTCGACCCACCCTTCATTTGGAATGTCTAGACTGTGACGTCATGCAAACATCATCATAGGTTAGCTACATTTCCATAGCGGAGTCTAATGACAATCAGTGCACATTACAAAGAGAACAAACTAACCTTTGAAAATTAAAGAATATTCGTAAATCGGCATCTTTATGCTGTAAAATCACATATTTACGTGGGGTCAAATTTGTGTGGTTTAAGGAAAATGTATTGCTTCGTTGGGATTTGATTTCGCGGATGAAGTAATTTTGCATTTCGTGTGGAGGATATGAATTCATGGTTCTCTTAATCCCACGAAAACAACAAAAAATTAACACCAAGAAAATAAGTGATTTCACAGTATTTTAAAATGTAGATCTAAGGTCAAGTTCAAAAGTAACAAGATCAGTATCCCGGCATTTTACAACAGGAATTCTTCCAAGCAAAACATGAGCAAAATATGAAATTTCCGCCTCTAACCCTTTCCATGATATAAGGTGTGACAGACGGACAGACAGACAGATAGACGACCAGTCCCAAGATCCCTAGGTGTCCCTCTGTTCTGCGGGCGACACAATAATAAATGTCTATCTTTTATAATGCATATTTTACCAATATAATGACAGGATACTTAAAGCAAGCGAATATAAAAGGCACAAATCCAACAGCTGTCCGATTTACTAAACTAAATATATATCATTTTATATACTACGCACGCATCCACAATTCAACACATTTGCGTTCTTCAGTGTTAGAATCCCTATACGGTCGCGTAAAACAATAAACGTATTTGTTTCTTGAGAGTCAATGACTTCACATGTAGGATTTTCAAGACTAGAGTTCTGCAAAAAAGTACTGCTGTGATTTTGGGGACCTTGATGGGTAAAACTATCACAGCCTCCAACACACGAGGAGTACGAAACCCCAGCAGGGAATAGAATATCTTGTTCAAACCCCAAGTCAGAAAAAGACACAAACTCCTCATGTCTACAGCAGTTCTGAGTATTATTCACTAATGAACAATCGTCAGTATTTCGTTTTGATCGATGATAATGTCTAAATCTGTAAATGAGAAATGGTCTATGAACTTGCAACTTTTTCGCTTTCTTTTTCCTCTTCTTGTTTGTGTGACGTCGCTGTTTTCTCTTCTTATTGCCTTTATTTCGCCTGGGCTTCTTCCGCTTCCGACGAGAAGGATGAACTTTTAATGGAAATGTAATTTTTGTTCGACTATTGCATCTTTTACAGTCTATGCACATGGAAAGAGTTTTATTCTGCACAGTTTCGGCGTTTTTTGTGACAGACAATGGTAAGGACACTTTATACCATGCTGTGTCGTTTGGTCTTACTTTTAGTTTTGCAACGTTTTGCTTTCGTTTAGTACCAACTTGTAAGGAAAAAACTTTTAGTACAACACGTCTCGTTCTTTTACGGCGTTTTGATTTTGTTTTAACTTTAAAATAAATATAAATATCTGCTCCAAGTACATCAACGTCTTCCTCAAAGTACTCATTTGGAACTTTAAATTTCATACACTTTGGGTCCGTCGTTGTGTCTGCAAAAGGAGAGCAGTTTTTAAATTATAAGTCATCTTTACAAGTGAAAGTAAAACAATTTATTGTTCCTGACATCTAGTCTCCGGAAATTGGCTATAAGTTTCAAAAGAGTGATACAGCATTCAATGTTGTCGATTTTACGAATTCAAAAAATATTTCTTGGTCAACATTCTTAGTTTCATAATTGTGGGTGGAATATTTAAGAATATAAAATTAATGAACCATTGAGTGTGTCAAAAGCATGTAAATAGGTCAATAATATGAAATAGTCTAAGCCCATAAATGATTACGGTAAAACAAATAGTTTTCTTAAACATTACTCTAGTACTAATTGGTGTTTGTGGTAAACCAAAATTTAAAGGTAATTAGTAGGTTGCTCAATAAACACAGAATGTCGGCAGTATTGACGTCATTGAGCAATAAATGCGTTTGAATATTTATTTAAAAATCGTTTTTTATGTTTGATTTTATGCATATATACATGTAGTTTTTGTATAAATAGTTACATTCTATTGAGCTTTGTTTGTGTAAATTATAGTTAACAAACCTTGTATCTAAATTCTTTAACTTACAACAAAAGACAAATATACTCAACATTAAAGTAATAATAACTAAATTGTTATATTTATTTGATCATGACTGGCATAAAAGTAAGTTTTGTATATAGACATATACAAGAAGGGTTTTTGAACTTCTGATATTATAGAAATTAAGAATTACTTAGATACTAGTACCTTTCTACATATGAACTATCCTTAATGGGTACTTTCTAAATTTTTTTTCGTAGCGTTATAAAAGCAAATGTTTTATTTAGCAAGAAATGGCACCTGGTTCAACCTCTGATGTTTTTTGAGGTCCTTGTTTGCACTGCTCCAGATCTGCATTGTTTCAATAGACTTTTGAGCTTGATTACTATTTGTTATTTCCATATTTTATGAAAAGTTATTGATGCTATTTTATTTAAATGCCTAGAAATATTACGTCAGCTTTACAATAAGTAAAAAACCTTACATATTTTGAAAAAAAAAATATTCAAAATAACTTGAATATATATATTTTTATTTCTATTTGATTTTCTTTACCTTTTTCTCTTTTGAAAAAAAAAAATCAGAATTGTCAGGACATTGTACGAAGAATACAAACATTAGATACCTGTATTTCTCTTCATGCATAGTCACTTGTAAACGTCACTACACCTACACATTTAATGCATTTTCTACTTGCCTGATGGACTTGAGAATACTGGTTTTGGTTTCACCACCGGAGGTCTGACAATTTCAACATCTTTTTTGTCAAATGCTGGGGGCCTCAAAGGAGTGAAGATGATATTGTTTGAAGTGTTGTTTTTCTTCTGAACACTCCGTCCATTGCAACGAATAATTTCGCAGATCCGACGTTTTATTTGATCTTTCCATATCTCTGGTTTCAGATTAATACTTCTTGTCATTGATTGTCTACCTGGGTGAGTAAGGTTAAAATCAGCTGGAAAACAAAAGGAATATTCACAATTCTCATTATTTGACAAAATAAAATCCATTCCTTTTTCTAAATATTAAGAAAATAAAAGTGATATCTTCACTAATGAGAATATAAAGTCTTAAGTGAAATTTCCACTTGAATTAATTTTTCCAAAATGCTTTGCGTTTAGATTACGTGGTTGAGCAGGAAAATTATTTTACTTAATTTTCCGAAAATCGATATATATGAGTGACTCTTATCCATAAGGCGAATTCTAAAAAATATTTACAATTATTTTGTCTTCTCCCCTTATTAAAATTTAAAATAATCTCAGATGACATCTATACATAACACTCAATCACCAGGTTGTTGGGCGTTTGAGCAAAAACTATTACGTGTTTACAAACAAAACGTCTGCCTATGAGTCATACTGAGAAATAGATTGGTAATACAAGAATATCAACAACTTTGTTATGAATCAACATATACATAGTCAATACAATCACTTTATTTGCAAATATAATCTGTCCTGTCGTAAAGTAGAATGTTGAGTGACTTCTTTCATGAAAAATTGTCTGGTTATTTTTATCATACTGAGCTGCTAACGGCTTTCTTCGTTTAGTCGATCATGAAAAGGGACATACGAGAACCGTTTTACAAGGGATGCTTACTACCTCCTAGCAACTGATCCCACTCTGATATTCTCAGAGGTCCGTCTACTCTGCTCACAGTAGAAATTGTTTAATTGAACCTTTTGATGTCATTGACAACTGCTCTTTAATAAAGACAAAACTCAGAAATTTTCATAACTTGTCTGTCATCTACAGAAATACTTTGTAAAAGATCTCATAGGTCATCTGAGCTTGATAATTAGAGGTTACTAGAGTTTCTCATTGAAATCATCTACGTAGTCTTTTGAAACTAAGTATCCCAACTCCGATGAACGCTATTTGTGCTCCTTCATTAGCAAGCCTGTGTTTATATTCCTATGATGCAGACTTTATTCAAAAACTTGTATATAAGAAAAAGAAAACTCTTGCTGTGGTCTTTAACTCGGCATTTAGATTGATCGACGACGATTTATTAGTTAACAACACTTACTTTGATTTATATTTCGACTCGATATACCCAGTGAACTCGAATGAAATGGATACTTACTCGAAGAATGAGATTTGAAGTTTTGAAGAATAAATCAAATTTCGGAACAATGTACATGTAAGGAGTTCAAAAATGTAAATGTAATATAAGCATGAAATCCATAATGTTTTTAAAGATCTATTCTTATTCATCATTCATTAGCTGCAACTGCCTGTGCAAACAAATTTTCAACAAGCGCTAATAATTATATAATAAGCTCTGCTTATTTTCCTTGCACACCCCTTTGTAGCAATGGGACTACGCAAGTATGGCTAAAGGAGGGTAGGTCATGCCTAATTAAATTATAGATACGTTCATGAACATATAAAACAAAATTTAAACATATCTCATCATTGCACTTTGAATATCATGAAAAGGGATACATTCATAATCTAAATTAAGAGTTACGACAGAAGAAAGGAGAGAAAATCAAAAATATATATAGTTAAGCTTAAAATATAAAGCATTTTAAAAAAAATATCTTTGATTCTGATGAAATCAGTACAATATGCACTGAATGAAAATAACATTTTGATGAAATGCAGTCTATTTCCGGCATTATAAAATCTTAACAGCAAAAAACCCTTTCGAGAATGCTTCTGCTGAAACCTCTTGTTCTCCTCTGAAGGTTTGATTTTTCTCGGTGTTTAAAACTCAGTTTTTAGGTATTGTTTCCAACCAGGTCTTCCATGGATTGGCTGGTTATGACAGCAAAATAGTTTTTACTTTGTTTAACACATGCTTGTGATTGGTTTACACAGGTCTTCCGTTATGTAATATATATATATATATATATATATATATATATATATATATATATATATATATATATATATATATATATATATATATATATATATATATAATGAAAGGAATATAAAAAAATGCTTTCAGTATCATGTTTTAATGTTTGATTCCTCTTTAGTAAGAAAAGTCGATCAAATATTCTAAGGTTCAGACCTCAAAGAGGATTTGGGTGCATGCGCTTGTGTGAAGTAATGGACTGAAAAGAGTGATGTACTAAGACTGTTTATGTCCAATCAAAGTACTATTCCAGAGAACGTGGTACAAGTATAAAACTAGACTATTCTTCTAATCATCAATGCGAAAATTTGAATTATAGTTACCATTTAAAAGAACACTTATTCACTATATTAACTGTATACCATGCATATGTTGACATACTGACAAAAATCAGGACTTATAATGTTCAAATTATTATTATTTCTTTTGAATAAAGACATCATCATGTAGGTACAACCTCAGTAAAGAAAATGAATAATCAAAAAAGATGAAGATTACGGACAGTACTCGATCTAGAAAAAAATCTACAAACAATACTAGTCTGTAAACAGAGTATAAATCAAGGACCCCTGGAAATTCAAGAGGTGGGATCAAGTGCCAAGGAGGAGAGAGTATCCATTGTTAGCATGCTCCAATAATAAGAAATTGGTTAATTGAGAGATACAAAATGTCTTTCATTTGAAACATCCCATTAAAGATTAAAAAAAAAACAATTCGAGATTCATTTGTTGATCGTAGCTTTACAAATTGGTGATATAAAACATGTACATTCCAATTATCTTTATATCACACGTTTCTCTCTCGCCTAAGATGAGCAATGAATAGAGTCTCAGACTTGTAAACTACAATACACGTACTTGTTTAACCTACCTTGGTGCCCCCTGGTTTGGGGCCAGGAAAACTCCTTTGCATAATGTAACTGAACAGAAATGATGGACAGGACGACCCATAGAGCTGTATTAGAAATCTTTAGATCAATAGGAAAGGACATTGCCCGATGACTTCAGGAAACCTGTGGAAGAAACCAAAATTAAAACATTGCTTAATTCTTTTATTACTAGGTTAGACGAGTCATCCGTTTTCATTTTTCTTTAACCTTCTTCGGGTGTACGTCCATCACTCACAAGAAAGTAATTAGTTGACATGCAATTTTTTAAATCCAAGATAAAAGTTGTGTTGTTGAATCTAGCCTGATTCCATTGATAGTTTACCTGATGCTCCGAATGCTTTTAGTTCATTTAAAAAGTCAAATGTAAGTAGGTGAAATGTCGTTTATTCACCAAAATTGCACCGAGAGATTGTTATTAGCTTAAATGTGTTTCAAAGGAAGGAAAATTTCAATTCATTCATTGTAAGCAGTTTGAAACAAATAATGTTTTACTGCATAAAATGGAAACAGTTCCTTTAAAATCATTCACATTAGAAACATAAGTAAGGATAGAACATGCAATTTCTTGATCTGCTTAAATTAAATACCATTTATGCAGAAATTGATAGATGTATATTCTTATACTGAATATTGGTCAAATTTCATAATTTCTTTCAAATTAAGAAATTATTACACTACACTTTAGCTTGATATCAAGATTGCAGTAAGGACCACACATAACGTTTGAAAACACGTGTGAGAAAGACTGTCGAGAAATCTGTGATGTTTTATTTTTCATGTAAGTGTAATGCTATGGAGACACTGGTAATAAAATTGTCTAGAGCCAGAACTCTTCTTTGTATATTTAAAAAAGACCATACTATGTAGTGTTATTAAGGTTATAACATTAAAGATTTGTACAGATTTCCTATAAGGAATCTTTTGATTATGACATAAGACATTCAACCTATTTAAATTTTATGAGGTGTTATTGAGTTAAATTTGCAATCTTTTTCACAATTTTCCAATTTCCTCTTTTAAATGAAAGATTATCAAGGGGATAAGTTATTCCTAAATGTTTGACTGAAAAAAAATCTTTTCAATTTATCATTTCAATAAAGAATCTAACAATTATTTTTTTTTATCAAATTAATTTCAAGAAATTGCAAATTAGTAGGGTAAATATTCATTAAAATTTATAGACATTTTATCATGAAAAGTAATACCATATCATTATCGACAGGTGTTTCGAACATTAGTAAGGAAAATGTCTAATGATAAGATATATGGACAAAAACCCAAAGAAAAACATGCATATCATATATACAATTAAATTTCAGATAATAATATTAACATACCTTTAAAAGAATTGGGAGCTACAAACATACATTTTTTTTTCAAAGGTCCCTGTGCATTTTCACAATTTTGGCTCTTCTTTGAGGAATATATAGGAAACAAAGGACATGCACTCAAACCTACTCAGTTCAACTACATAACTCAGAGCATTCCTAATATGAATTTACATCCAAGAATGGCACTTATTTCAGGTTGTGGTCAATTTCCAATTCCTCTGTCGAGCAATTAGTGACTATGCTTAATGAGGAAGGATGTACCAAATTAATCAGCAGTGGCTAGCGGAGAAGTCGACGAAACCCAACAATCTTTATAACTACCTTGGTGGTGCAAGAAAAACATGGTAACAAGCATTCATTTGGTGACCTTACAAACGTTTTTCAAAATTTAATTTTCGTAAGGAAGGCTTTTTTTCTCATAGAGGTGATTTATAGTACTAGATGTCGCACAAAAAACAACGCCTTTACATCTCATTTTCGCTTTATCCTTAAGAGTGCATAAGTGTTTTCAAAGCCAAATAATTTTTTCCTCTGTGAAATGTTTCATTTTCTGAAAAATAAATTTAGCATACCTTTCATTCACAATAAACATCCATATGGATGTTGTTTCTCGTACGAACAATCTCTTGTGGTGTAAAATATTGCCTAATCTCAAAATTTTTACCTGTCACGTTCCGTTTTATAGACTTTGAGTGCAGATTTATTGAAATTAATTGATTAGCTCTGATACACGTACAGATCGAGTGCAATTCATTGAGAGACAAAAATAAAACAAAGAAATATTATGGCATCTATATTAAGAACAATTAAGTAATACTTAAATAAGAATTCAATTACTGAGCAGATTTCCCCAAATTCAATCTTACACGAACTATTCAGTTTTGTATAACAAATAGACTGCAATAGCTTTGTGGGTTTTAAGATTAACTAATGTAAATAGAACTGTTGAATAAAAAGGTGCGGTATTCATCACTTCATTCATATATTAGCTAAATTGATCAACAAGAAATAGTTACCTCAATTGAACATTATTAAAAGGAATTGGAAACAAATGCACATGTACTGATGTCTCAACCAATTTATACAGATTAAAAATACTCCAGAATTAATATTGACAAAATATTCTGCCCGAAACTGAGCCACATTAGAATTTGTAGAATTTTCAGAGCCTAGCTGACAACTTGTTTTTTAAGTCAATTAGATGTTTATATTTATAAATAATAAAGATATCTTATTGTAAAACTCAGCAGTGGCTGATTAAGCTATACATATGAAGTTCAGAATAATGATTCTATAGACCTATTATATGCTTTTGTCCTCGGAAAACATCGGTTATAAAGCCTTCATTTCTATTTTAATCGCCTTTGGGTCACACGCTATAATATTTTTAGTTTTCATGAGTACATGTGTACTTACTTAATCATACCTGTATGGAACAAAGAATAATTTGTGCTAATTAAATATTTCATTTCCGTTAAACGGTTAATATTTTATCAAACAGTTCTCAGAACTTGTCAAATGTCCTTCGATTTTTTACGTTTATTGAGAAAATATATTTAGAATGCATATGAATAGTACAAATCTGAAACAGGAGAAATCCTGTACTTTATCTACTTAACAGATAAAATCTATTGTTTAGCAAATGAATCTGCCTGATTATGAGTTTGTGAAAACATGGCATTGTGTAAGACTAAACCCAGGGGTAATAGTGGAAAGGATAGACGCGTAGTCATCTTTTGTCAACATATTAAAGATGAAGTGGTGAAATATGGAGACAACGAACAGTATTCAAGCCAAAGACCATTAAAAAAATACAAATCGAGAGCAGAGCAAACATGGACCTCCAAAAACTCAGTGGTGGGATCAGGTGCCATGGAGTAGTGGGCATCCCCTGCCAACCGGTCACACCCGCCGTGTACTCCTTGTCATGATCGGTAAATAACGAAAAAATCCTTCAACAAACCAGCGTGTAAATAATGGCCTAACAATTAGTATAAAAAACGTCAGTCAGCAAGTGACTAAATGATAGATTGTATTTGCTGACAAGGTGATTGTATCGACCATAGTACTTACGAAATGATTAGTTTAAACAAGACTTCTTTTTTAATAACTTACCTCGTTTTAGCAATTGTTCGTACGTAGAGCATGCTCTTGCGTATCGAATCAACTGAGAGATATACACCCCATATGCAAATGCGTATGCATATGTAAAGCGTTTTCGCATTGTTGACCTTAAATAAGATTGCAGGAAGTCCAGTAACATCGACATATTTGTCGGTTTTCTTCATCGATTTAAAAATTAAAAAAAAAAACCAAGTGAATTTTCCTGCATACAGAATCAGCATGCGTAGGTACTCATTGAATATTTCGATTAAGATAGGATAAGATGTCTATGGAAAATTCTGAATTATCCTGTTGGTCAAATAGATTAATTATAAGTTTGCTATTAACGTCTATGGTCAGTAAAAGATCCAGATATGAAACATACTGAACACAGACATATTTTGCCCCGATTTATTTTCGCCCCTTTTACACTAGTTTCAAGTGGGTGAATTTAAAAATCATGCGAATTCAAAGAATACATCACTATCTCTTTAAAACAAATGTGTCTGGGTGAATTTAAAAAATGGATGCTAAGGGGCTAAAATAACAGGTGGCAAAAATAGCCTAGTTTTCAGACTGTGGCAGGTTCTGTGCTTTATATTTAGTTTGTAAGTTGTTTACGTGTTGCAGACAATTAAATATCGAACTGAGAACAAATACACAAAGAAGAAATAAGTTCACTCTAATGTAATGTATGAATCTTACAGTACAGGCACGTCTTTTTTGTCTAAATTAGAATCACAATTAAGCATAGCCAGCAAACAAATTGAACCGTTAGCAGGAATAAGTAGCATATCAAACAATTAGCATTTCAAACACAAAATCAGTATTACTAGCAAGAAAACTAGCATAAAAATATTGTGAACAGGAATACCAAGCTTTACAACCAAACAATATGTATTGTTAGCAATATTAACTTGCCTAATAAATTAACATTCAGCATTGTAATCAATAATAGCTAACGTTACAATAAAAAAATAAGTGTTGTTTGCAATAATAGCAAGTATTACAAAAAATAAATCAGCATTGTTCGCAAGAATAAAATACTATCATTACAAACAATCAACATTGTTAACAATAACAATAATTACAAAGAATCGGAATTGTTAACAATAACTATCATTACAAACAATCAACATTGTTAACAATAACTATCGTTACAAACAATCAACATTGTTAACAATAACTATCGTTACAAACAATCAATATTGTTAACAATAACAAATATTAATCGGCATTGTTAACAATAACTATCATTACAAACAATCAATATTCTTAACAATAACAAACATTACAAACAATCGGCATTGTTAACTATAACTATCATTACAAACAATCAACATTGATGCTGACTGTATGTAATGATAATTATTGTTAACAATACAGTTTGTTCGTAATGATAGTTATTGTTAACAATAACTAGCATTACAAACAATTAGCATTGTTAACAATAATGACTTTCATTACAACCAGTTAGCATTGTTAACGATAACTACCATCACAAACAATAAGCATCATTTACAATAATGACTATTATACAAACAGTGTCTAAATTCCATATATTAACTTCATGTAACATAACTTGTATTATGCTACTCCCCTACACCATTGACCTAATTAGGGATCGACATTAGACATAAGCAAGCTCTCATATCACGAAGCTAAGAA